TCCACCACCTCCTGATTCTGTCTTCTAGCTCTGTGTTTGGTCTCCACCACCTCCTGATTCTGTCTTCTAGCTCTGTGTTTGGTCTCCACCACCTCCTGATTCTGTCTTCTAGCTCTGTGTTTGGTCTCCACAACCTCCTGATTCTGTCTTCTAGCTCTGTGTTTGGTCTCCACCACCTCCTGATTCTGTCTTCTAGCTCTGTGTTTGGTCTCCACCTCCTCTTGATTCTGTCTTCTAGCTCTGTGTTTGGTCTCCACCTCCTACATTTGGAATGAAATCTCAGTGTTTGTGTCTCAGCTGTTTGGTCTCAGAGCTCAAAGTGGATCTGTTTCCAGATTCCAGCAGCTCACAGGAATCTGCATTTGTTACTGCCTGGGGGGGGGTAATCTGATCCAGATTCAAGTTTAGAGCTGCAGCTGCAGGACGAACAGAGTCCAGAAACCAACACACATGAAACTGGATCCTGAAAACACAGGACTGTGTCCTCACAGAGATCAGCTGTCTCACATCAACAAAGATCAACGTCTCAAATAAAAACACGGGGACAAAAGGACAAACGTCCTCTCTGCTGTTTGATTTCACACCAACGTGTTATAAAAGTTGCACTTGAACGCAGCACAGAGCGAAGAGCTGACGGTCAGCCAACTCACCCTCGAACGCCTCGTTAAGTCTGAACGTCCTCTGAGACAGAGGACACTGAAGACCACCTGGACTACAGCTAGACAGAGGACACCGAAGACCACCTGGACTACAGCTAGACAGAGGACACCGAAGACCACCTGGACTACAGCTAGACAGAGGACACCGAAGACCACCTGGACTACAGCTAGACAGAGGACACTGAAGACCACCTGGACTACAGCTAGACGGAGGACACTGGATGTTAGTCTGCTAACAGCTGAGCGGTCCTCTGATGTTTCGTCATTAGCTACCCTAAATAAAAGACATCAACCTGTGTGTGTGTGAGAGTGAGTGATTGTGAGATATTTTATATATATATATATATATATATATATATATATATATATAT